AAACAGCAGCAGGAACCTGTAATGACTCCACTCAGGAGCCCACATCGCCCAGCACAAGCCTGCAGCCTTTGCTTACACAGCTACACGATTACACTAAACACGGCTAGGTTGCAACATCATTGCTACTGCATACGGGAAGGATGGGATTTTTCTTTAAATCAATCCAACACTGTGAACATTCAGGTGATTATTCTTCCTTTACTGTGTTTTATGTTGAAACAAAGAAAGGGACCTCAAAATGATCTCACACTATTTTAACCAAACATTTTTACAATAAAATGCACTTAATCTTACAATAAAATAACATTTGTACTCACCAACATGCATTATCAAGTCTCAGTTCTTTCAGAACTTTAAAATAATTAATTTGATTCTTCTTATGTACTCCTTATATGTACATTATAGCAAATCATGTCTTTTTCTTCAATTCATCAAAATAAAAAAGTACTGTCAGACAGTCTATTAACTTGGTTGAGAAATTGAGCACAGTCAGTACAAACCTGTATTTACCCAGCTCATAAGTCAGCATAAGTGTTCAGCAGCATCCTGGTCCACACTGGTCACAGTTCAGCTGCAGTTAAAGGTGAAATGCTTCCTTCAAGGGCAGCAAAAGGTAACTGGAAAGCAACTACTACACTGATGAGTAAATCAATTAGTGAATGAGTACGAAGAGAAAAGAGAGGGATAACAAGCAGGGGGACACGGCTATGTAAATGTATTTACGGAAGTTTGTGTTAAAAAAAAATTTTAATAAAAAAAAAAAAAGTAATTTTGATGTACAAATCAAAATAATCTAAAATATAAAAATATAAAATTTCTATGACTTTTCGGGAATATCTGGGAATTAGGTATAGATTATAGTTACAGTTATAGATAGTAAATTTTTTAAGTATCTTAGATTTTTGCCATTAGATGATCTTTGCAAACTATGAGAGACAGACACTTAATTACAAGTCCTGCAGGTGTGTTTACAGGTACAAGAAATGCAAGGGTGACGTTTGTTTTGTAAACACACACGCAAACACACAGTCCTCCATTAGGCCCATATGGAAACTCTCAGTCAGCTAAAAAGGTTATGTAACAGGTATTTCTCTATGTTTGTATATATTAGGAAAAAAATCCCTGGCTGTTCCCGCCACTCCAATAACAACTAGTTTAGAGATTTAATACCAATGTAGTGAATGTTACCATGTTATGATAATATCACTACAGTATTACTCATGCTATTTCTCTAGTTGACAATAGCTTACAGTTTAAAAGTCACACTCACAAAATCACACAGCAGACTATTTGGACTATCACATATGTTTGTGTAGCCTTGTTAAACAGTCATATATCATTGTCAATTTTATTCTCACATGTTGATTTTAAGATTACATTTCCTATAAACAATGTCTCAAAGAAAATGTTCTTCCCGTATATATTGCTCAGAATGTGTTTGTCTTACTGTTTTCTTTACTAAAGAGGAAGTCATTTAATCTACTGTTTCTTTAATTTCATCTGACATTGTGAGAAATTCTGAACGCTCTAACTCTGGTTGAAGCTGGAAGAGCAGCGACCACTTCCTGTTTCGTGATGTATAACGACCCAGCAGGGTCTTCAAAGTTTGATCTGGTTTTACCGTGTGTAAAAAGTATAGGTGTAGGGATTCTCATGCTGACTTGTTATCTGTGGTCCCTGTGGTTTACCTGTAGTTCAGATAGGTCACATTATATAGATAAGATTATTGCTTGCCATAGATAATTGAGTAAAATAATTTTTAAATTCACAAGAATATTAAGTGTTCTTTTTAATATGGCTCTTTAAATGGCAATGTTGGTCAGTTAACTACTTTGGTCCAAATTTAAATATTACAACAACTAATTTGAACATCCCTTTACTTTTCATTTAGAGGCAGCATATAAAAATGCTAATTTGTTCATCACTTTGGTTTATGACCAAATACCTGTAAAATTTATAACATTCCCATCAGCCTCAGCTGTACTTTGTGTTCGGTGCTAGTTAGCAAATGTTAAACTAGGATGGTGAACAAACATTACTCCTGCTTAACATGAGCATGTTAGCACTGTTATTGTGAGCATGTTGGCAGCAGGACGTTAGCATTTAGCTCAAAGAACTGCTCTGACTCATACCGCTTAACAAATCCGCTAGTAAATGGTAATAACTTGAATTAGCCAGTGATTTCAGTGCGATTCTTATTATTAAATATGTGTTCAGTAGTCGACTGACTGGGTGGAGTGTTGTGGCCGTTGACTGGTGATAATTTGTGACTACATGCAGTTTCAGGTTGTATCATTGAACCAAGTCTCTACAGTGTCAGGAGTCGTACAGAGGATACCAATCTTCTCTCAGCCATGCTTTTAAGTGTTTATGGTAATTATAAATGTGCTCCAAAAGTAACATGACTTACTGTGGTTAAATTATCTCACATGGCACCTTTAAAAAGCTCAAGTCAGTTAAGAGTGTGGTGGAGTCACTTAGAAAGAACACAAAAACATGAATACTTGACAAAAGATCCAACTCAAACTCAAATTTTCTGCCTTTTTCTAAATATTCTGTCATGTTCAAGTCAAGAGGTTTTCTATGAGTACATAGATTAAAACTGAAAATGTTTTTTTACAGTTCATTCATTACATTTACATAAAATGAAGCATATAACTGGCAGTTCTTTCTGTCTGCAGTCTGTGTCTGTGCATTTGTATCTTCTCCCACACACGACATCTAAAGACCACCCCCCCCTTCCTTATCCATCTCTCAACACCATTTCCCTCCCCTCCCTCCTTCTCTCTCAGTGTCCTTTCATTTCATCCCAACATAGAAAAAAAGGCCAACCAACTAAGTGGTCACGACAACAGGATGAATAGATGAAGGCGACATGTATTGTACATGAAAAAGAAAATCCCATTTAAGCAGATTTTCTAGCTTATTTCACCCCCATTTATTAAACTCTGCTCTGTAACTCAAAAACACTAAATTTGCTCAGTTAGTTTTTTAATTCCCATATTCAGGCAGTTTCTACAGTAATCCTGCATTTCAACATGTGATATTTAAGTCAATTAATTGTATACCTCTGTCAAGGCTGATTGCCTTGTCTTCAATGCTCCATTAAGTGCTCAGTGGTACTTGTGTTTCTTAATTATTGGCCTCTGTTTCTGGTGTAAGCGAGGTCATTGTTGTCCTCAGGGCACAGTGAAGGGTAACACCCACAATTCACTAGCCACCCAGCCAAACAGGACCCTAAATGTTGGTAGTTTCCTGCATGATTGGAAAGCAAATATCCATACATGAATCAGATAACATCGTACTATTATCAGTTGTAGTCACAGTCAAAATGTGCCGACATGTGGTGTGTGACAAAGAAGCCAAATATATGTGCAAGATCTGTGTTGAAGGGGGAATGTGAGACCTTGTAGTTGATTGATTTAAGTATGTGAAGTTGTGGGTTTGGTTTCACCTCATGGTTGTCACATTTTATGTCCATCCTCTCTGATTTTTACTCCCCGATGAACAGAAGAACCTTAAGCATGACCAGAAAAAGCGACAACTGTGAACTAAACATGAAAAAACCTGAGAAACTCTGCATCCTGTGTGAGTCCACCTGTAAACTGTGCACTTGGCCGCCGTTCACAGTAGGGTGAAAACCAAGCCCTACACTGCAAAAAATGACAATTACAGGGAAATATTGTGTTATATATTTATATTTAAATTAGGTTTATTACATGCCACATAAGTCCTAAATATCTTCCTGCATTTGTTGTATTGCCAGGATGAGTAAAAATAAAAATAAAAAAACGCAAATAATCAGGACACATTTAGAAGCAAACATATTTAGGAGCATTAAGATAACTTGATGAAATGTCTCCTGACAAGTTTGACATGGCTCAATGCAGATTAAAATCTGCATCATTTTTTGCAGTGCAGTATTCATATCAAAGCAGGAAAACTGCATGATGGAAATTTATTGTTTTAATGTACCGGTAAGTCTCATTTTCCTTCCTCCCTCCCTTCCTCAGGCATCTCCTTCTCTGTGCTGACCATGTTATTTCCATTGTATCCATGGTGACAGATAATAAGGATAGATTCACACCTCACAACGAGCTGTTTCCTGATTGGCCTCGAAGCGAGAAGCTGTTTTATATGGTCTGGATAACAGGAAGGAGGCCAGTATATACAGTAAATCCTGCAGGTTATGCAGTTGATAAAGATAAGTGCTGCAGCCATGTGGAGAAGACAAGTACTGCAAAAGAGGAACTGTAAAGTAGCGTCTTCATTTTGCTCAGGGATAAGACAAACCTGTCTGTCTTATTTTGATATAATGGGGTGGTGTCTAACAATCTTTAAAAAATTAAGTGGGGGCTATTTATTCATGTTTTACACTTCCACTGTATTTTTTTCTTCTGATTTATTCTATGTTGGCCTAAAATCCTGCCTATAGCCTATGTTTTTATTCTGCCTTCATTTTGTTTTAATGCCATTTGTATAGCGTATAACATGACTGATGTATAGCGGTTTGAATAGACCTTTCTCCATTTTGACATGTGGCTAAATAGGGTGATCACAGGTGTTACCTAATTGACACTAATTGGGGTTTTCTCCCATTCAGGTTAGAGCCAGGGTGCTGCTGGTGCATGTTTACCCTACTATTTAATGTCAAAATGGCAGCTGTGAAAAAGGTATATTATTGAAATATCAATTAATAAGGTAGGTAGCAAGGTAACATTGCTATTATTGTTAAAATCCTAATAATTAACTTCACCTTTCTACTGGATGAGAAGATTGAATGGTTACATGAAAGGTCCTGAAAATTAACACATTTAAAAAAACAAGATTATGAAACTTTATCAGTACTGTGCTCTTACAGCTGTGACTGTTTGTGCATGTCATTGTGTTCTGGTTACGTGACCCAGACTCCTGTTAAAAAGATAATTTATTGTGAATATTAAAACATAAACAGCAGTCATTTCTATATTCATACTGATTTAAAGTCCAGTCACTGCAAATCATTTAAACAACTTTTATTTATTAAGTTTTTACAAATAAAGTAACAAATTTCATTGTATTGTAGCGCAAAGCGCAAAGTTTTTTTTAATATGAAGCTTGAACACTCTATACTTAGTGCAAAACATACCTTTAAAGGCTGCCGATGACTCCCTACATGTATTTTGTTAGTTTTTTCTCTCATTCATTCATCCATGTGTTTTGTTTTTTTATCCAACCACTTTGTACAATGTCAAGCACGATACAGAAAAATGAAACCACTGAATTAAGTTAGGTGCCGCTATAAAGACATTAAAACTGCTGATAAAAACAAGTGAGAAATAAAAAATGAAACATGAGAGCATCAGAGAGACCAGAAACATAATCAACACGTTCAGTAACAGTCTGTAGGAGAAACTGTTGCTGTGCTCGAGACTCGACATCATTCCACAGGAGCAAGCTACATGAAACGGCAAGGAGATGCACTGAATCAATCTGTGTTTGTGTTTGTGTGTGTGTGTGTCTGTGCACTGAAGGCATTTTTTTTTTAACATGTGGGCACTTCTACAGTAAAAGCATAAAAGGTTAGCAAGTCCTGAACAGGCAAAAACTGTGAAAACTGAATCTAATGTGTTAGTCTATTAAAAATAACTATTGCTACACTGTGTGTGTGTGTGTGTGTGTGTCACCAGAAAAAGAACCCTACTAGTTTAGGAACCTTCACAATAAGAGTGCTTGCACTGGATAACTCTTGAGCCTTTCACAGTAAAACTCCATTCAAAAAAACTTCACAAATATTGCACCCACTGATGTTTAACTCTGAAGCGTTAGAAATAAGAGTCCTCCAGCAGGGTGTAACTGTCAAACACTACCTCAGAGCTTGATAGCATACTGTAACTTTAAATAATATTGCATTGCAGTAGGCATTCCTTTCATAGTAATTACATAGTAGAGACACAGCAAAGTACTATCAAACTTCTACTGTGGAAATTATTTGAGGCTCGAGCAATTGCAAAGTGAAAATCCAGGATGTTACCCGGCAAACAAACCAGCTCCAGTGAGTAAAAGCAGGTAAATACACTTAGTTTTCTTATTTAATTCTTTACCCCTCATGTTTCCACTCCACTGACAAAGAGTCAAATGGCACTGAGTTGGTGGCAGTTGGTTTGACAGATCATGATAAACAGGATGCTCATAACCAGAACTAAAGCAAAGTGGCTCAATGATTATTCACAGCTTCAACCAAACTTGCCTAGTAGTAAAATGTTGCATTATTATTCATGAGAAATGGAAAAACATCCCAAGAACAGGCAAAAGCAATGCTATTTTTGTACAAACTTTACAAAGTAACCTTTTTTTAACACCCATTCCCAGCAAAAAAACCCAACACAAAATATGTTAAGTGAATGTCAGAGTTTGTACCAGATATGCGTAATTTGCACTGACAAATGAAAAGAGAAAAGGAGCACAGGGTGTCAAAGGCCTTGAATCTAATAGCGCCATAACTCTATTATCACCATCACTTCCATCATCACTACCAGCACAATCATTATAACCACCACCAACACCACACAACTAGCACTGTGATGCCCTTATGTTAAAATATTTGTTTTCATGTTTTGGTTTACAGTCATTTCTGTGATTAAAACCTATTAAACCTCAGTGGTGCAGCTTCAGACACATACAGTGGGAAAAGGAGTGGATGAGACAATATTCACACCTTTTGCAGGCATGTTTTTTTTTTTGCCCAATAGCAGAAACTCTCAGATGAGGAGGCATTACCAACCAAATCTGTTTTTGGCCTCGTAAATACTGATCATAACAAGGTGCAAAATGGCTCCTACAATGATTGTTCACCTTTGTATCTTTTCACTTTAAGGCCCTGGAAACTTATTTTCTCAATCAATTTCTTAGTGATTGGTTCCTACATGAAAACACTATTTTATGCCAAAGTTTTAATAGATTTGGTTATTTTAAATGAGAGATTTCTGTATTCCTGTTTCTCTGTTCTCTTCTTACTGTTGGGCAGGGCTCAGGTGGAAAAAAATTACTTCCTTGCCTCAATCAGGAAATAGCAAACTTTGAATCAGAATCTGATGACGGTGGGTGTTTTTTGGTCTTTGCCAATCAAATCTGATTCAAAACACACCCACAGAGTCCTGACAAAGTAGATTTTTAGAGTGTTAAGCTTAAGAAATGCTTATTTAGCCATGAATATGTAATGTGGAAAAAAGTTTTCAGGGTCTTTAAAGTCTGTAATGCATAGTAACTGTATAGTAAATATTCTATTTGGGCATGTGATCATGGCTCTGTAGTCAGTCTGGGGCTTTTCCACTGTGTTGTGGTAATTTCACTGCAAATCCATGTGAAGTTTACAGTAGATGTGCCTTTTTAAAGTTAGTGAAACAAATCATTGTTTCTTTCTGGCAAATGTATGCACTCGTTATTCACTGAATAATAATACAATTGTGCTCAAAACCAGGGCAGGAGACTTAGGCCACAGCATCAACATGCGTTTTGGTAAAGACATAAATCTATATTACACTAGAGATATGTCATTAAAATAAACTTTAGTTCATTGTACCAATGTGTCCTCTGCTAACTGTATCCTGCACCAGGGCCAGTGCCCCTAAAGTACAGAGTGGTCCAAGCTTCAAATACAATCTTCAATAACTCCCTCCTTGAAACTTATAAAATATTCTAATCTCGTTTTTTTTCTTCCCAATATCTACATTTAAAACCCTGAAAAAATGGCACTGATTAACTCATGTTCTCTCCATCTTTTATCATGTTGGTGGTGTAACCGGGTCGTAGACACAGTCAATTCAAAGAGCTAAGTTATATGGTTAATAGTTATGATTTTCAGTTTTTCAATCAATGGGGGGACAGTCTTGTTTTTTGGAGGAAGATACACTCTCAATTAGTTGAAATCAAAGAAAATTAACCACAAACCAGCTGTAGTGCACACAGTAGCAGCTAACGAAAGCCATTATTACCGCATCTCCGCCAATCTACTGAATGCCTGCTCCACTAACACCAGGTCCAATCATCACCACTGACTTCAAAGCGGCACCCAAAAACTCTCCACACATGCTGTTAAGTGTGCTTACTTTAGACCGAGGCCTCAACCCCACAACGGAACAAGCAACAGGAAGGATGCAAGGCACTAGTAACCACCTCCAGTATTCACCAGAGGCTCTAGGGGTCGGGGGTCAGGGGGAAGCAAAAAAAAAGCAAAAATAAAAGACAGACCTTTTTTTCAAGTACATTAAAATGGACACCATTGGTTTATACATTCACATTCTTCTAACAAAACCAGGGGAGAAAGGTTAGAGGAGGGCTATTTAAAGTGTCTGATATATAAGTACTGTATTAAGAAAAAAAATAGCTAGCATTACTTTATTATCTAAATATCAACTATCCTGCCATTCACCCCGGTTTGTCTTTGTAATCGGGCTTGGAGGTCAGTTTCAACTTTCAATTCAATCAGTTATAAAGATGAACTGAAACTGCAGTTGATTAGTTGTTGATAAGGCATCTGGTTTGGATAGTGTCCTCAGTAACTGGATGTTAAGAGGATTATTGAAAAGAGGGATTTTAAATTTTTCACATTTTGACAAGAATCCATTTGCTGAAAGCAGTGAATTGAAAGTGAAAGGACCCCAAAACCGTTCTCTGTATGCTTTTGTTTTTGTTTTTTTTATTTGTGACATTTCACCCTAAAACTAATGTTGTCCAACAACATTTGCTAATAATAAACAACAATAATCACAGTGTTTCCACATCGTACACCGATGTGCGCGTATAACAGGTCCATCGACAGAACACGTTCTTGTTTTTGTTTCTTTTTAAATAGAATAATCATTAACAACAATAATCATGACAATAATGTACATTGCAATCATTTCAACACAAATGTTGAAACCAACCTAATGATGATGACGAGAACTGAGGCTTTACTCTGTGAATCTATATCTGTTAAACGGCTACTACACCTCCAAAAATGTGCATGTATTTACATGAGTCTGTGCATGGCTGTGTGTGTATGCAGGTGTGTGTATTTATATCATGCGTTGTGTGTGTGTGTGTGTCAGATTGCTAGCTGGGGGCAGCAAGCAAAACAAACCCAACAAAACAAAATAAAACAACAAAATGGAATCATCATAGCTGACATTCTAAAAAATAAACAGACACAAACTGTACAGGGACTCTATATTATTCTGATAACAAGGCCACTTTTTCACACTGAGTTCTCTCATGTTTGGGCTTTTTTTTCTCTAAAAGGTTTCTGCTGTTATTGCTTCAAATGGCAACAGAGAGTCGGAGAGAGGGATGGAGGAAGAGGTGGTGTCGTGATGTGAAGAGGCGTTCGGTGTGCAGAAGCATCTGTCATGTCCAATCAGTACTTTAGCAATGGCGCACACAGCCGGTATGTTCGTAAAGTAAGCAGTGGAACATGAAACAGATGAGGTGTTTGACTGTTATTTAACACAAACACCTGCCTGCTGCTCTTCCTCTTCGTCAACTTTCTCTCCTCCATCTCTCTCCACCTGTTTGAATGACGGACAAACAAACAAGGGAGACAAGACAAAGGAGCTAACGGAGGAGTAGCAATCACAAGTCAAAACCACACCATGTGCTAGACTACACATACTCTAAACCAGGCTCGAGGTCAGCTCTTTGTTCTTGATTTTTTTGTGCTTTGCATGGTTAAGAAAAATTTCCAAATTCTGAATACTGACGAAAAAACACTTCCTGAACTTAAGAAAAAAAACTCAGATGCCGCTCTAAACATCTCTCCATTCTGCTCTCAAAATTTTATGTGCTGCTATTTGCAGCCTTCCTTGTACAAATTCATTTGAGGGATGCAAAAGACTTGTTCACTTAATTTAGAGCATGAAATGGAACAAGTGTGACCGAGCCATAAGTGCCTATACACGATACCTTACACACAAACAGTAATTAACTCCAATGCTGCACCCTGTCAAAACCTCTTTGGCCTTTTAACATTGCACTCATGAGTCTTTTCCTTTATCCTTGAGCATTTGGCTGGCTGTCACAAGTCAAACACAGTCAAACACAGCAGAAAGGGAGATTGTGTGACTGCATTTGGGTCTGTGACAACTGCAGATTCATCACACCAATTGTGGACATGGCCACATCGCATTCCTGATTTCTTCTTTCCTCCTCATTTCCTTTTTTCCTTTCTCCTCTTTAACAGGTAAGCTCTCATACTCATTTTCAAACTCCCTGCTCTCCACATTCCTCTCAAGTTCTTCCATCCTCTCCGACCGATCAAGCGCATCACACTCTGTTCCACACCAATCCAGTCCAGTCGGGCCGTGATTCAAACCAGCCCTCACCCCCAGCCCTACGTGGTCCTCAGGTTGGGTCCTCCTGGGTTGCTGACTGACTTCTGCAGAGCGTTGGTCAGATGGAAAGCCTGGAGCGGCCCCTGCCCGGGAATCTGGCCCTGTCCACCAACCGTGGCGGGATAGGGGCCCAGGGGCTGGGAGGTGCTGACAAGTAGAGGCCCAGGCTGTGCAGGGGCCTGGTGTGGGGTTGACAGGCCGTGAGCAGGACCAGACCATTGTGCACTGTAGGCAGCGGTGGGGGTGTAGTGGATGAACTGGGGAGGTTGGGGTTGAGGCGGAGTGGAGGAGGCAGGGGAGTGGCACAGGGAGCCCTTGCGAGCGGCCAGAGAGGTAGTGGTGCTGGGGTTTGTAGGGAGGTGGGCTGAACCTCCAATGCTGCTGGTACACAGCTGGCTGGGAGCAGAGTACTTCCTGCCCAGACTGGCTGACTGGATAACCTGGAGAGGTGGATATTTTACACGAAGAAAGAGAAAAGTTTATTCAAGCTAACACAGACCTTTCTTCTCTATATTTTAAGACCTTATATGTATACATTATATTACATAAATACATTTTTTGAATTATTAGCTCAATCTGTAGTCCTGTCTTGTAGAGGGGTCCTAGTTTTATTATTTTAGTTTATATTGTACATGGTGCATGTTCCAAAATAAAGTAATCAAGTTACCACCAACTAATTAGGGCACATAAACCTGGTTAATATTATTACAATACAGAAGCACTGTATGATCTGTGGGGCTGCCATGTATAGTCTGCTGTGCCCACTGTACTGGCAATTTGGAGGTGACAAAGGAGGCATGTACATGCACAACAGCTAATCCGGCCATGATGTGATCTGGTGTATTTTTAAACTAACCTCGTAGCTGTGTCCCTGTGCTGGGGCCTGCTGCAGCTGTTTGGCACTCCTCTTCCCCTGAAAAGGTTTTAATATTTAGTTCAGTTAGTTTTACAATACGTTACAGCAAAAAATTACTCACAAAGAACAGATATTTTCTAAACCTTAGGGATAAATAAAGACAAAGAAATGTGACTGCAGGAGGGTTTTAAGTTGGTTAAAATTTGAATAAAATGCTTCACATTTTTTCTTAAAAACAGCCTGGAAAAACGTACAGTGTGCAACGGTATCTACTACTGGATGTTCCCAGAGCTTGACTTAAAGTAAAGGAATACCAAGCATTTGCTGTCTCTACTCTTAACCTTTGGAGTATTAGATTAGATTTAATTAAGCAGAACTTTTCTCAAGACTAACTTTTCTTTTCTTAACTGATGTTCTAGTCAATGTAAACACAAATAAAGAGCCAAATGGATGCAGGACCTGGTAGAGATTTATAAAACATATCATCAGCCAAATGCCGGTAGGTTTTGGCAGAGGTTTGTTTATTCTCCCAGTCACTTTGGCTTTTAACAAACCACCATTTAGAGTTTAGTTTATTTCCTCTATCTGTCTTCTTGTCCGGTAAACTAAATACAGGCACTGGTGAGTCACTGCTAAAGCAACATTTTTACTGTCAAAACAATGTCTGCTTCAGAAAGATGAAACATAAAACAGCAGTAAACCTGTGAGAGGTTCATAGCATCTCTGGCCCAGTTGTCCACTAGTTTATGGAGGTCATCGGTGAAGGTTCCTTTCCTCTGGTGGGGTGCTGACATGCTGGGGGGCAGACACTGAGAACCCCCCTGGCTCTGACCCAAACCACCTGAACCGCTCACTGCATTGGTGCTATTAGTCCCTGTGGAGGGAGACGGAGAAAGAGAGAGAAGGAGAAGAGCAAGGGATGTGAGATACTGTTAAAACTAGACGATGATAATTTATGTTATTCTATTTATGAATGGAAATGCGTTTTCTGTCTTGACCATGAAAAGGGACCGTTACATGGTGACAGAGGCTGATCGGGGCAGAGTTTTAGGGTAGGTCAGCATATCCACATGGTCACAGAATTATATTGTTTAGTTGTAATGATGGAAATAATGATGGCTGGCGGGAACAAAAAGAAAAACTATGACACTAGAGCACTGGAGCAGACATTTCAAGACAGAACATGGGCACTTTTGCCAACAAATATAACAAATACTGAACCTTTTACAGAATATATCATATTATATGCAGCATTCACCCACAAGATGCTCCAGCAAGAAAGAAGCAGCATTGAGCCAGTCCTGCTGTTGAATACAGTTACCCTTTGTACTGTACAGCTGATCTCCTGTTTTGATTTATTTCTTTACCATTAGATGGCACTCACGCTCTGTAACAGTTGGTAATTTGCTTTTTAGCCATCCCCTGACCATCAAACTCATCAGAGCAAATTCACTGCAGGAAAAAAAAGCCCACACACTGCAAACTGGCCAGGGTGTCCGCTTGTAAGTGCTGTCGTCACATGTAGCCTCTGTTCAATTTAGCATGACCTATTACATGATGCCATAATCACAATCATGTAAGTGCCTCTCTACAATCAGTATATGCCGAGAGTCGAGAGGAGGACAATTATAAAATACCTCAACTCTTTGCTACACACGGCTGGTTCAGATATTGTCACAGAATTTCAGAACTTAAGGTTTCACTTCAATCAAATCTGCATCCATAGTACTGCAGAAACAGCCCTCACAACATGCAGGTATATTTTTCACAAAAGTACAGTTTTAACATATCATTCAGGCCAGTGAAAGAATGTTGTACTTTACTATCATGAATACGGCATAATAATTATTTACTCACAAAATTGTCTTTATTATTATCTCTTTGCTATAAGGGATCCCAAAGCCATGCTGACAAAATCAGCTTAGCTATGAAATATTTAGATTATCTGTTGATATCAGATATTACACAAGAAAAAACATAAAATGCAGAGATTAGCTGGTAAACAAAATAACAATACAGTTTGAGAGAAACTGTCATGTCATGCTAAATAAAATGGAGGAAAATAAGAATGAGGAGATGCTGAGTCATGACTGACTGCAGCAGCATGGGATTCTGGGCAATGTAGTCAAGACCACAAGCCATGACGAGGGAAAGAGGAAGGGTGGGGGGCAGAGTGGCTAACAGCTGTTCCGATGTGTTAGTGTTGTTGTTAATGTGTGTGTGAGCTTGTGGGTGCATGCGCTGTCAGTTTGAATCTGTGATGGCCGCTCAGTTCAGTCATTTCAGTCCTCAAACTGGATGTTGTCTGATCTTTGAAATGTCTGAATGAAAAAATACAATGTCTCTGTGAGTCATATGAGCTGAAATAACTGAATTGAGCTGATCTCAAATCTGGCAGAGCATCAAAGTTTAAACCTAAAGGACATTAGAGAGCAGGAGGAAGCGTGGGAGAGCAAGTGCAAGGATGGAAGAGGGGATGGATGAAGGGAGGGAAGACCAAAAAGAGAGATAGTTACTACAGAGCTGGTTGCAGGGGCAGACTTTTTTCACCATCTTCCCTGTGCGGCCGGAAGACAACGATTGGAGGATTGGGAGAGAGTCAGAGTTAAACCCCGCCCACAACACCCGACAACCAAAAACAATGCATCCGAGTATGATTATTTGTACTTGAGGTAGTCAATAAACAACACTTTGGGGTTGAGTTGCCCAATAACATCTTTACAGTGGGATCAGTACATGTCACACAGTGCACTGGGATCAAAACCCCAGAACGTGAAGTAGATGTTAAGAATTCATGTGCAGTGTACGATTTAGAGGTGTGGCTGCTGTGTGTTCTGCACTCTGCACCGTGAGAAAGGCTGACCACAGATGTCAAGTCACAAGACTGCAATTTTTATACACATTTTTATACAACAACTGCGTAAAGATGCTTTCCTTCCGCAAGGCTAAGATATGTAGGCAACCTTCTGAGGAAGTGCAGACACCAACTTGGTAAACACTCTTGGTTGACAGTTACTGCAGTAGCAACAGACCAGTAAATACCGGAATATAAATATTTTTTAACCAAAGCTCTTAAAGGATAATACTTGTGTTTAACAGTAGACTAACCGAGTCCACTGCCTCAAAGACTTGCTTATGTACTGTGGCATGAAGATGCTTTTGGGTAACCAACCCCTTATTCTGAGTCCTCTCTGCAGCTCACAGGGCCGCACCAGAACTGGGTCCAAATTAGGATTCATATTAAAAGTATGCTGTTTCCAGACCTCTGAATTGCTGCACACATCTCTGATTTGGTCACCGAATTAAAAACATTTAAGTGAAACAATATGGCAATTCAGTTTTGTTTCCAGGCTGATATAAAAGGTAATTTATCTTAATGAATTTAATTCTGATGTTAGATCACTGTTCTTCCTAAGCTACCTGTTTACGAACAATAAGTAAAGATCAATGAGACCCAGGTCTGCCTCTCTCCCCTCCTGGCTGTGCAGTGATAGGGGAACAGGTGAGAGAGAGAGGTGGGGGGGGTGAATAAACTGAGTGAGGGACAGAGGAAAGGAAGGGAGAGAAAGCGTTTGAGCTGCAGAGGGTTCAGAGGCATTCATAAAAATCCCTTCATCAAACACAAAACATTTAACCAACGCTACATATTATGAATATAATATGATTGGAGAAAAACAATTTCTTAATCACGAAAATATATGAATAAATAAAGACTGATGCACAGTATTTGAACAGAACTGTGCTTAAACAAATGAGTCATTGCAATTAATCAAGTTTTATTAACACAAAATAAATTTCCTATTAAAATAAAACTGTACGGCAGAAAACTCAAGTCATCAGGTGTCAACTTGTCTTTCCTTATTAATCTCCTTGTTTTCACAGAGGCAAAGGTTAGAAATGGAAGCAGCCAGGATTTGGAATTCAGACAAACAAAACTTTATCATCTATCTCTAACTTATTAGAACTAGAGATGAAATGGACTGTATGTCGTATGCCTGTAGTGCTGCTGGCTGCTTACAATGCTAGTTGAACTTGAAGAGCTTATTTGATTGTTTACATGTTGGCACGGAACATTAGCTAAATGGCTAAAATGTAAACATGCAGCACAATATGTGCCTTTTAGCTGCCGTTATATAAGTGTTTTGTCCACAAGCCTAACTGGTGTTCATGCAATATTTTTTAGGTCATACTACTCTAATGGCTATAACATTAAAGTTATAATTCATGAGATTTTCATGAAAACAAACCCTATTTTATATTTTTTTATGTTAACATTGTGTAATCATCTCTATACATATATTAGTCCTCATTGTTAGTGGCGATGTCTGTATCTGATATCATAAATAAATAAATATCGCATGGAGTAATAAGACAAGATAGAGTAGCCAAAGTGAGCTGGTAAATGGGAGAGCTGCTGTTGTGAGGAAAACTACTCGCACTGCACAGTAGCATGAAATCAGGTTGCTATTGACTGACTTCTTTATCAAAACAATGTGGGTTTGTTTGGCTGCACTGTGAACAGATAGACACGTATCTCTTCGGTTCTATTTCTGACAAAGAAGTGTCTGTCTGCCGCCCCCAGAATTTTGGGACCTGTTATTAAACTGCACTTGCTCTTAACAACAGTGACCCTGGGTGTCACCAAATTAATCAGGACTGAAATCAGAAGGATTATAACTTTAAACAGGTTATTGAAACTCAGTTCCCTATCACTAATATCGCTGGATATAAAGATATAAAGATGTTTTATGCCATAGAATCACATTTTCTCATCTGTGATTTGACTTGTACACTTGACACTTTGCTGTGTCATTTCTATCAAATATGATGCGATTTTTCTTTTTTGAAAAATGCTGTTTAGCACACAAAGTTGGAACTGAATGTGAAGTTAAGAGATGACTTGTTTGTCAATGAAAACTATGTCAAAGGAAGAATACCGATAAAAAGAAAGTGATAGTGGGAAGAAGAAGATTAAAAAGTAAGTAAATATGACTATGGGAAGCTCTGAGAATGTACGAAAGACCAAATTTGTCATTGTGCCAATTTCCTGTGTCCTGCAGTAAGCTTTTCTATCTGATTTGCCCTTTTTCTTCTGTACCTAAACTTAAAAAACTTTTTTTTTTTTTTTTTTTCTTAAACATACACAAACAGTAAAAATCAACTAATTTTATCTGCAGAAAGCTGCAAACCTAGTTTAAAGGCCCTGATTTAAGCTAGAAATTTAGTCTGGCTTTTAGGTTTTGAGTACAAGTACTTAACCCCGCCTGCCGCAGTGAGAAAGGTGTAAAAGTGTGTAAAAGCCTGCATGCTCAGCTGATTTCGCCTGGGTGAATAAATGTTTTTCTACTAATGCCTGAAAAGCTGACTTCTGCAGGACACTTGTGATATCAGAAGCAGAGGGTCTTCCTCCATCAAATAAGGAAACCCATGGGAAGACAGGACGACTGTGACTTGACAGATATAGGAGTAAAAAAATAAGAACAAAAGTAAGTAAGGACGACGGGTAAAAAGAGAAGAGCAAAGAAATAAAGCGTTACACACAAAGAGCCAAGCAGGGCGTACTCAGAAAGCGCGTCCTCCTGCCGCCAGGCTTGAAGGCCAAACGCTCCGAACCCCAGCTGAACTTTACACAGCCTGAAGAGAGGGAGGAGGGAAAGAAAAGGAGGAGAAAAGAGGTAAGGAAACAGAAAAGAAGAGTGCAGAGAAGGGAAGGGGAGAAGTGAAGAAGATAAGGGGAGAGAAATTGAGAAGAGAGCGACAGAGAGACAAGAGGACAGAGAAAAACAACAGAGATAGACAAGATGGAGAAAAGGGCAAGACAGAAAAGGTAGGTGAGAAGGAAGGAAAGAGACACAGGTAAAGGAATACACAGGAAGAATGTAACAATTAGCTATCACACTTTACACAGAAAGAGAAACAGAGAAAGACAGAAAAAGATGTGAGAAGTGTCTTGTTGTGAGGGAGACAAACCAACTGCATGCACTTGTGTTTGTCTGTATGCAAATCATTTCTTATGTTGTGGGGAAGCTTGTGAGGCCTGTTGCAGACTGGGATTCACAGTTGCATGCCTACCTGGGGTGGGAGCACACAAGCTGGGAACAGAGAGCGCCCCCTCGCTGGTGTAGGTCGAACACAGGTTGTTACTGGAGGGAGAAGGTTTGAGTGGCTGGAGAGTACTGGCGCCCGAATCGGCTAATCCTCCTGGGGCTAACAGAGCCAGTTGGCCGGGGTACATGGTGGGGACGCTCTGGGCGGATAAAGTGCTGCCTGGAGATAGCACAAGGCATAAGCAGGAGAGGACAGGGCAGGAACGGCACACCACACACGCGCGCACACACACACACACACACACACACACAGATAACGGACAGATGAGACAACAGCCACCCCCCAGACAGTTACACAGACGTACACACAACCACACAGAGAAAGACAGACAGGGAAAGCAGTCAGAAATGTTCAAGCTCTGAGCCTGCTCCAGCATACACCCACATGCACGTGTAACCAAGCGGATAAACACACACACACATATATGTGCACAAGGATGCATAAACACAGAGACGGTGTAATGTTAGGGTAAACGTATTGACCATCCTGTAGTGAAGTGGACTTAATGTGAATACTTTGATTGTTACTGTTCAGAGGTTGAATAAATATTTCATTACCTTCTTCTGGAGGTATCTAGCAATGCTGATATTTTTTGTTTAATTTATCCAGGTTTTGATGAGGTGAATAGATTTTTATTTGTGTTGCTCACAATAATCAACAATTACATTGTTGCAAGGCTGTACTTTCTGCAGGTACAGCCGAATCAGCACTTAAT